CACCACATGCCAGCCAACCCTGCCCCCTGGTGGGCTGAGCTGGCCACACACACACACACACACACACACACACACAAATAAATAAAATTAAAAAAAATAAAGTAGACAGAACAGCAACGACAAAATAGTAGCTAATATTTTCTGAGTGCTAACTATGTTTAGGTACTGTCTCAGCTACTCTTCTCTCGTTGCTGGGACAAATACCTGACACCCAAAATGAAGGAAGGAAAGGTTTATTTAGCTCACAGTTACTGGAGATTTCAGTCCATACTCAGCTGGCTCCAAGACAGCCTGGCACATGGCAGAGAGCAACCTTTCATGGTGGTGGCGAAGAGCAAGAGCACAGGAGGAGAGTAGCAGCAGCTCAAGCAGCTAGCTTCTCTCTCCTCTTTACACTGAAATGTGAATTACCTACCTGGGGCAGGGGCAGCATCCATACCCACAATAATCAGTCACAAACTCCAGAAGCCCCTCAAGACTGCAGGAGGCTTTGGGGGGACATCTATACACTAACCATAACAGGTACCATTCCCAGTACTTGCCATGTTCTTTTCTTCAATTCTTACAAGAACTAGGGAAGATGAATCTGCCATTGGTTCTATCTTACAGACAAGGAAATTTAGACTTGGAGAAGATTAGCAATGTGTCCACAACCACACAGTCAGCAACAAGGAAAGCCAAGTTTTAGACCAAGGAGGCTCTGAGTTTCAAACCCAAGTCTTCAACCTGCAGGACAAGATGACCCAATATAAGGAAGGGGACAAAATCTTACTCTGCAGGGGAAGAAGCACAGGCAGGAGCCTCCTGGTTTTCACCCACACTCAGCCACTTGGGAGTATTAATCCTTAGGGAGACACTGTCATTTAAGAAGCGCTTCAACACATTGGAATAGGGCAAGGGAAGGGTCTTGGAAACCATGTGCAGTGAGAACTGGGAGAAATGGCTGGGTACGTGTGTCCAGCCTGGAGACTGTGTCTGGCAGGGTGGTTGTGTTTCCCTTGCACCCCATCATACAGAAGCAGGGACATTTGTGTATTTCTGTGAAGGACAGGGAGGAACAAATTCATGCTAGCACAGTTCACATCCACAGAGGGACTTCCAGGGCAGAGGCTGATTGACACAAAGGCAAGGAAGACAGGTGTGGACAGCAGCTGGAGGGTCTCATCCAGGGAAGAATCTCTGTGGGGACAGGAGCCCTCTCTCACAGACAGCATTATGGATCTTGCTGAATTCATAGTAAAATGTATGTTCTCCAAGTGTACTGAAAGTATAAGTTCTGACATGCGTGAAGGTCAATACTGATTGTGTGTGTATGTGTGCTAAAAGGGACCTTTACACCCTGAGAAGTGTGGGTGCCACATGACCGAGATGGACGAGTGAGGCTCCTGCTGAGCCCAGCTTCCTGATCCCGTGAAGCACAATGAGCTTCCTACTGACAGAGCACAAACACTAAAGCTAGACCCATTAGGCTAGACCCACCAGGACCTTCCTTGGGCCAGAGTGGCCCCTTGCTGGCCTGGACGAGCAGGAGGTTTGGTGAAACTTCTTCCGTGGGGATCTTGAGGAGCAGGAGAGGCCAGGGGCTGTTGGTTTCGTGGTGTCCATGGGTGGGGGGAAGACTAGGAGTCCCCCTTGCTGCAGCATCCCATGAGTCCCTGATGTCTTACTTTGCAGTCCAGCAACTTACTCTTCTCTGAGTACTTAGGATACTTGCTTAATGACCCTCACGTGTTGGGGCTAGGTGTAAGCGAGCTCTCTAGTGCTGAGGGCTGGCCCAGGGTTAGGACTTTTCACCCCTTGTCTCCCCTCTTCCTTCATCTCCTTCTCTTCCAACTCTCACCATTGATGACAGGCAGAGCTTCTCCCCAGTTTGCTTTGTTTTCTGTCCCCTCCAGGACAAGGCCATCTCTTCTCTGTAGGTCTATCTACTGGCCCTCACAATAATATAGATTTTCCTTCCATTCTCTGTTGGAGGGGCCTGGACCTGGAACTGGCTCATGACAATGGTAGTTGTGACCTTGATTCTCAAAAATTCTTGTCCAAGTTCATCCTCTTAAAAGAATAGGCATGGTTCAGACAATGGCTGGGATCTGCTCCAGTGACAGGTAAAGAGGTACCTTGATTCACTGTGGATTCAGAATTCCTGGAGACACGTTGCTCTGGACTTTAGGCCCACATCTGGCCATGCAATGGCTGCATTTCTGTCTGGCATAAAGATGGAGCTTACATCCCATCCATAAATGTGTGTGCACATATATGTATTCCTTAGTAGAAAATTCTTTTAGGATGGAAATAACTCCCAGCAGTGATGTAATGCAGTAACACATTTAAGCAGCATTTTATGCTTCTCAGCTGTCTTAAATATTAGAAAAGAAAATATTAAAAAAGAGAATATACAGCCTAACTTTTGAAAGACGTTACTTGGAATGTGGACAGATTTCACTTGCCTGGCTATGTCACCTCCAAAGAGGAGGCGCTGACTCACCATTTTGATGGTGCTGAAGGACAGGGAATTCAAAGCCTTTTGGGCGTGCTGAGTCATAGGGTGATTCTGGTTTAAACTGGTTACTCTGAGGGAGGAAGGAGGAGAGGGGGTCTGTGTGACCGCCCCCCCGGGGGGGTGCCTCTGCTAATTCTACATTTCATGGAGCCATGGGCAGCAGCTGTGGAAGATCAGGGGTGTAAATCAGAAAGGGAATCCTAGCAATGCACAGGGAGCCACTATGCCACCTCAAATCTTCCCCTGAGAAGAAGGTGACACTGATTTGGTGTATCTATTTTCTTAAATCTGTGTCGCGCGCTGTCCCTTGAACGAGAGCACACAACACCGGCACGGCAATCCAAGCTCTTTATTGTTCCCGTTCACAGCAACCGAAGCCTCTACACGTCCGCTCAGCCGCGGCTCACTACTTGTGCTTTCTCCGGATCAGGGAGGCGCGAGTATATATGTAACACGTAAACCAATCAGGGCAAGGCAGATTCAGACAGGGGATAGGTTGGCGTCACCAGTAGCTGGGCAAGGTTGATAACAAGGAAGGCTGTTTACAAAGTATAGCAGTCAGGAAGCAGGAAATGGGCGCCATCTTAATAACATGGCTTGGGCGCGGCCCCCAACAAATCTGAACACTAACTTTGAGGTCTCTACAGATTTCTTTTCTTTTTTTGCAGAACCAGGGATTGAACTCAGGCTCTTGCACTTGCTTAGTCTACTGAGCCATCTCCCCGGCCCCTCTATAGATTTCTTGTTTTAAGATGACGTCAACTAACTTGGACTACTTCTTGTAATGGGAGTTGAACCAGTTTTCAGTTTTATCTGGTTACAAATCAGTAGAAGGGCTTCATTGATCCATTAATTCACTGATAATTGAGCAACTCATTCACTTGTGTGGTTACTGTCCCTTGATGAGCACTTATTATTAACAGAATGCTCTCTTAATGTCCAAGGTATCCAGTATGTGACAAAGACTGGGAGCTCCTGGAGAGGTCATGACTTTAGCCAGTGGAAGGTATTGGCGTGGTGCATATCCTGGTGGGCAACATAGGGGTAAAGGATCTCTGGTGGGCAACATAGGGGTAAGGGAGAACTGGGCCACCCTTCACCAACTTTGCCCAGTAAGCCCTAAAGTCCCTGTCCTTTCCTTCTTTTGACGGCGCCTGCTAAGATCACACAGGCCACACCCTTGGCAGGGCAGTGTGCAGCGGACACAATGAAAAAGATTTGTCCTGGAGAGGAAAGCAGTGTCCTCACAGGCTGCAGAGCCACATGGGGTGCCTTTCCTCATGGACAAACAAGCCCAACGCTCTGAACAATGAGGCTGGTAGATGCTCAGGCTTCCTGAGACAGATATGTTCAGCAGAGTGCCCAGACCTGCCAGAGCTGGTCCCCCGGGCCTGGCAGAGAGTGGTGGGTTCTTGGGTGTACACAGAGAATGATCCCACAGGGGCCCTGCATGTCTTCTTCCTAACTGGGTCTCTGTGTTTGAGTATCCTATTCCCTATGACTTGGACTAAAACTAGAGAAACACCAAGATGTAGGGAGAAAGGAAGGAAGTTTGGGGAAGTCTGAGGTATATATACTGCTCTGTGGTTTCTCTGGGTAATTTTTAGAACAGACAAAAATTAGGCATGTTGGATTTGGCTGTTTTTCCTCAGAAGACAGAAGTCCAAAGCCCACTGCTTTCTGACTACAGGAAGAGCCTGAGGAGAGCCCAGGAGGCAGATGCATGATATTTCTGGGCTTTACCTATTGCAAGGGAGGAACAGAGGTCCTCAGTTTGTCCCCATGACCTGCACAGAGCCAGACACACTCCAGGCATTTGAAAGTGTGTGGTGATTATACAGCAAATAATATCACCTTTTCTACAGCGACGTTTTCCCAGAGTTGTAGGTAGACCTCACCGTCTCCTCTGCTCAAGGGAATCAGAACACACTATACCCACTATTCCAGAGTTAAGCCCTGCTCTGGCATGGCACGGGGACAGGTGACAGGTAGACAGCCCTGAGCTGAACCTGTGACATAGGGCAGCATGCTTCCTGGGGCTTGTAGGACAAAAAGTTAGGAAGTGGCAGTGCTGAGCATGGCGAGGCTAGGCCCCGCACACTGCCAGGTAAATCTGCCATCTTAGCACCTTTCACAGCTCAGGTCTTTCTCAAGGTGTTTGGTGGCCTGAAACAAACTTCTGCCTTGGAGGCAAACCCAGCCCATGAATATTTGGGATTAATTATCTCTCCTTCATTTGAGCCCAACAACATCTGCAACGTATAAAAAAGGGATTCATTCTGCACAGCCTTCAGTCTCCTCCTCCTCCTGCCTGGGAGCTCAGGGTCTTCCCTGCTTGCCTCTCACACTTCCCCTCAACAAGTGCCTCACTATGAATGGACAAACATGCAAGACTCCTGGAGGCAGGAGTCTGGGCTTCTCTGGCCACTCTGCTATGGTCTCTGGTGGCAGCAGAATGAGCTGTGTGGCCCGAACTGGAGGGTTTGGTGGGGCCTGCAGGTTCTGGAGTGGAGCAGGTGGCTTTGGCAGTCACAGCCTGTATAACCTTGGTGGCAAAAAGAGCATCTTGATCAGTGTGGCATCTGGTGGCTCCAGGGCTGGTAGATTTGGTGGAGGGTACAGCAGCCTTGGTAGTAGCTTTGGGGGTAGCTATGGAGGTGCTCTTGGGGATGGCTATGGAGGCAGCTTTGGCAGTGGCTTTGGTGGTAACAGGGGAATGGGAAGTGGCTTTGGTGGAGCTGGTGGCTTTGGAGATGCTGGTGGTTTTAGTGGTCTTGGTGGCTTTGGGGGGCCTGGTGGTTTTGGCCCTGGTTGTTTCCCTGGGGGAATCCAGGAAGTTACTCTCAATCAGAGCCTCCTTCAGCCCCTCAATGTAGAGATTGACTCCCAAATTGGGCAAGTAAAGGCCCAGGAGCGCGAGCAGATCAAGACTGAACAACAAGTTTGCTTCCTTCATCGACAAGGTAATGTCCCTGGTTGGGCCCCCAATTCTAATCCAGGGACTTTGAACTTAACCTTTAGACAAAGTGTTAAAATATGTTCTGCATGAACAAAGCTAGACAGTGAGGAGGTGGGCGACGGTCTGGGAAGGTACTTACCTCTGGGTGATGAGCTTGTCTTCATGGTCAAGTGGCACACATGCAGAAAGAAAATGGTCCCTTTTGGATCCAAACACCACCATGCCCTCCTTCTCTGAAACTCTGCTCAAGTCCCCCACCTGTTGCCTTGCCTAGGCCGAGGCTGGGAGAACTGGCAGCCCAGGACAAAGGCCATGACCATGGCAAGAAAAGGTCTGATCTTGACCCAGAAACATGAGTTGTCCTCTAAGGCTTTCTGTAAGGCCAGGCCCTGGAGAAGGTACTAAAGAGGCTTAAGCAGAACCTGAGTCTCAGGGTCTATGTGAAGAGGATGACTTCTGTTGCATACACTCCACTCAGGAAAAGAAGGGTGCTCATTGGCCTTCACCAGACCTGAGCATCTCAGATGGGGCTGTGTCCCCCATCAGGTTCAAGAGCAGTGTTACGCTGCCTAGGCTCTGCAGTGTCAGTTCCCAGAGACTTACAGCCTTTGAGAGGTGGCAGAGTCCCTGGAGTCTTAGGTGGAGTGGTGCTACTGGGCTTCTTGTACATTTCTGCAGAATGTACTGCATTTTGGGAAGGTGTGCTCGAGGCTGAGGTCCCCTGGAGCAGCAAGCAGTCTTCACAAGTCTGCATTTAGGCAGGACTCTTTTTTTTTTTTTTCTTTTCTTTTCTCTCCCTGTCTCTCTTTTCTTTGTAACTTTCCAAGCCATGCTGGCTCCTCAGGGCCGACTCACTCCTCAGGGCTGGTTCCTCCAAAGCTGTTGTCAGATCTGCTCTAGGACTCTGTGTGGGGAAGCAGGAGATACAGGCATCCAGACCTGCCTGGGCTAAGGAGGGACTCCTCTCCCTGCTCCCTGCAGTGCTGCCTGACGCTTCTCTTCCACTGTGCTGCAGGTGCACTTCCTGGAGCAACAGAACAAGGTTCTGGAGACTAAGTGGGAGCTGCTCCAGCAGCAGGGCACCAGTGCCGCCACTGGCACAAACAGCTTTGAGCCTTTTTTTGAGAACTGTTAGCCACTTGCGGCATTACCTGGATGGGTTCCTTGGGGAGAGAGTCTACCTGGACTCAGAGCTGAGGAGCACACAGGACCTGGTGGAGGACTTCAAGAAGAAGTGAGAGAAAGGGAAGGAGGGGGAGACGTCCTGAGTTGCCCTTCTCAGAATTTTCCCATCTATGACCCTCCCATCTGCCTGGCAGTTGTGTCACCTGGGCTGTTATCTCCTCTCTCTGTAACTTTCCAAGCCATGCTGGCTCCTCAGGGCTGACTTGCTGTCCTGACCACAGTCCCTGAAGCTGCAGCAGGAGCTGTTTTCAGATCTGTCTTGCAGGACAGTTGGGTAGTTAGGTCCCCCTTGCCTGTCCATCTCCAAGCATAGTCTTTACAAATGAACTTTGGCAAGAGGCAAGAGTTTCAAGTTGAAGCATTTCCTCTTTAGCCAAACTGGAGAAGATTCTGGTCCTATGGTTCTGAAAGATTCTGGGGTAACTTGCGGTAGAGTGAATAACCACCCTCAGGCTGGGACTGAGGTTTTCTTGAAATGTGGGACTTTTAGTGTGAAAATCAGGATAGCTTTCCAGGGCATCTGGGGTGGCTGGTCTCCCTAAATAGCAGGGAGCTGGGAAAGAAGATGTATTCATTAAAGAGAGGGGGATAAAAGCACATAGGTGGGGCCAGCCAAATAGCTCAGTGGATTAAAGTGCATGCAAGTGTGCACAAGGGCCAGGGATTTGATCCCCGGGCCTGCTGTGCTAGCCCCACCCCCAGGGTGCCCTGAGATGGCAATTGAGACTGGGCATGGTGGCGCACACCTGTAATCCCAGCTCTTCGGAGGCTGTAAACAGGTGAATCACTATGAGTCCAATCTAGTAGTGAGATCCTGAACATCCTGTAGTCCCTTCCCTAAAATACAAAAACAAACAAGCAAGCAAACAAACAAAAAACTCAGGTAAGTGAAAAAACTCCAGATGAGTGGAACAGATAAATTTCTGGAGTTTCAGAGAAAAGTGGTATTTATGGGTACCTCAACACCAAACTCAGCCATTTCTTTTTAACTTCTATAGATATGAGGATGAAATAAACAAATGTACAGAGGCTGAGAATGAATTTGTGACCCTGAAGAAGGTAAGGAAATGTGTGAGGCTCCTGGGCTTGTAGTGGCAGTTTCCCAGTGGGGTTGGGCATCTCACTACCCATTGCCCAGGGGCTGTCTTGTCCAGGTCCTTGGAGCAATAAACAGAAGCAGCTGCTTCTTAGCTTGGAAGATCCCTAAGAGTTAGTCCATTGGTTTTTCAATTTTGAGTAGACTGGACTCACAAATCTCCGTGAGACAGGCATTTCTTCTTTCTGTACACAAGCACCGTTCCCAGCTCTGGTCCCTCAGACTCCCTTGATACAGTATGTTGTTTGTTCCTTGGAGGAAAGGAGGCCTTATGTTCCTGTATTTCTCAGGATTTGGATGCAGCCTACATGAACAAGATGGAGCTTCAGGCCAAGATGGACGTCCTGGTAGATGAGACCAACTTCCTGAGGACCCTCCATGATGTAGTGAGGAAATTTTCTACCAAGCATGGAGAAAGAAGGAGGGAGAGATGTTTTCAGATGTGAGGTTGGGTATTTTGGTCAGCTTAGAGGTGATGCCCCTTGGTGGGAGTTCTTCATATACGCTGTAGACACCCAGTACATTTAGAGGTGACACTCAGTGAGTGAGGTTGTTGATCAGAAGTTTTTCTAGGCCTCTAGAATAGTCTCCCTCTGTGTTGGCAGGAGCTTTCTCAGCTGCAAAGCCATGTCAGTGACATGTCTGTGATCCTATCTATGGACAATAATCATGACCTGGACCTGGACAGCATCATTGCTGAGGTCCGTGGTCAGTATGAGGACATCACTCAGAGGAGCAAGGCCGAGGCTGAGGCACTATACCAGACTAAGGTGGGTACAAAGTAACCTCTGAGAGGATCCGTCAGCCTAGGAGGCTCTGTCCTGTGGGACTGCTGAGTGGTGAGTTCCCAGGGACTCCTTGTGATTCTGCCCTTTGGAGACAGCCCTCTAATGATTGTTCAGCTGAAGAATGTCTTGTCTCCTGTTTGCATTACCCCACTGCCAGGCCATGTGGGATTAATTCTTGCCTGCTGAAGGCACACAGGGCAGAGGACTCTTCTGTCACAACATTCCACATGTCCTCTTTCCTACTGAGACACAATTCAATACCATTCTAACAAATGCTTACTAAGAATGTCAAAGTTTGGTGAGTGGTGTTGGACAGTACAGAAAGAAGGCAGGCAAAGCCACAACAATAATGTCGCATCTTCCTTTTGATTTTCTAGTTGGGGGAGCTACAGACTACAGCCAGCAGGCATGGCAATGACCTGTGGAGCACCAAGAGTGAGATCTAGGAGCTCAACAGGATGATCCAGAGGCTGCGGGCAGAGATTGAGAATATCAAGAAGCAGGTGGAATGGCCATGTACACTGGTACCTGGGCTGCTCAGTAGGGAATAGGGGTGACAGCCTCAGAGCTCCAAGCCAGACTTCTTGAGGTCATCTCATGTAGCACTGGAATCTGAGATGTTCAAAGACCAGGCCAGTCTATATGGCTGTCTAACCTTCAGGGAATATTTCCTCAGTGGACACAAGATGAGGTGCTAGCTGGAGGGGTAATATTCTCTGACTTGAAGGTGGGATAATTCTTCCCAAGGTGCAAAAGATTTGGGGCCCTATTGCTGGCCTTATCCCACCTATCTCCCCTGTCCCAGATTGCCAGTCTGCAGGAGTCCATCGCAGATGCTGAGCAGCATGGGGAGATGGTCTTTCAGGACGCCAACACCAAGCTTCAAGACTGACGGGCTGCTTTACAGCTGGCCAAGGATGACCTGGCCAGGATGCTGTGCAAGTACCAGGAGCTCATGAATGTCAAGCTGGCTTTGGACGTGGAGATCACCATCTACTGCAAGCTTCTGGAGGGCGAGGAATACAGGTGGGTCACTAGTCTCATGATCCTGACCCATGTCACATGCTAAGGGCCAGATAAGTGGCCAAGTAAATGGGGAAGTGGTCGTGCTGAAAAGAGAGGCCTTCACCTTCCACAATCCTTGCAGGGAAGCATTGGTTTCTATCAGGCCTCTCATTCCCGATTGCCCAAGAGTGTTCGAGTAGTATGACCCAGAGTATAGTGTTTGTATGATCCAGAGCAGGGTGGATAAAGCTCACTGACCTGCCCAGCTTCTGAGGTGCAGGCTGTAGACATGCTTTGTGATAGCACCGTGTTCTTCTTGTTTTCTCAAATAGGATGTCTGGAGAGCACCAGAGTACCATCAGCGTCTGTAAGTGGCCATAGCAACCATGCCAACAATCTCAGATATCTGTATTTGTAGGGAAGGAGCAACTAATTAAGGGCATATTCCTGTGAAAATTGGAGTGTTCTTGTGGGGAGGGAAGGGGAGCACATTGACTTTTGCAGCTGTTTGGGCTTTAGAACACGCTTAACAGGAGTAGAATGCCAGTGAGAAGTATCTGATAGGAGTCCTCTAATTGAGGTAACATTCAAACACTGGATGATCTCCATGTGGTCTTCAAGAGTTGCCCATATGTAGAAGGAACCACTGGGTCATTCTGAATGACTGGTGACATTAGAGTGCCCCCAGGTATCATCAGGTGCAGAGTTGCCCCGTCATGCCCCAACTTCCTCTCCTAATGGTACAATAACTAGTTACAACAAGGTGGTGTGGGCACTGGGGCACTGATGGATGTCTTTTTCTCCTCCCAGTTTTGGTCAACAGCAGTAGCACAATTTTGGGCTTGGCAGGCAGTTATGGGGGCAATTATGGTGGTGGCTTCAGTGTAGGAGGCACTGACACAAGCAGTGGCTTTGGCTTGGGAGATGGCAGTGGATTTGGTGGCAGCAGCAGTTTCAGTGGTGGCAGTTGCCTTGGATCTGGCTCTGTGGGTCACAGTGCAGTCAGTGGTGGGGGTTTCAGTTCAGGAGGCAACCAGGGTGGTACTGTCAAGTTCTCCCAATCCTCCCACCACTACTCCAGATAAAGATCATACAGAATGTTCACCGGCGTCTCAGCCACCTCAGCACCGCCCTCTCTACCCACTCCTCCCAATGTCATGGCACCTCTGCCCCTAAGGGTGTGGCTCTTGGGCTGGAGGGTTGGGGCTCTTGCTTTCTGCTTGGGTTCCTGGCTGAGCCTAGTCACAAGGATTTCAAGTTTTCCTCTCTATGGCTCCAGCCTATGACTGTGATTATCCAGGTGTGGCAGAAGCTGCCACTTCCTGCTGTCCTTGGGATTCTCCCCATCCTGAGAGTCACCCCATTCCCCGTGTATATAACATGCAGTTTCTTCTGCCCACCTGCTCTATTGCCAATAAAATGCACTTTGTCTTATGCGAGGCCTCTGAGTATTCTGTCCACATCCATCTCCCCACTGGATGAAGACTTCTGGTCATCTCTCTGGGCCAGTGTCTTTTGTGTCTCCCACATGGGCTCCATGACCCAGAGCAGCTGGAGCACTTCTGCACCAAAACAGGACTGTTCCTCTTCACCACTCATGGGATGAGATTTATTATTTATTTATTTATTTATTTATTTATTTATTTATTTATTTATAGGAACCGGGGATTGAACTCAGATCCTTGTGTTTGCCAGTCAAGCGCTTATCCTACTGAGCCATCTCCCCGGCCCCCTTTTTTTTCTTTTTCTT